TAGGCAGAATGACCACTGACTGGGACCTGAAGGCAGAGTGACCATAGTCAGACTTGTAGGTAGAATGACCATAGCCTGAGAACTGCAGACGTAGTGACCACAGACAAAATGACCACTGACTGGGACCTGTAGGCAGAATGACCACTGACTGGGACCTGAAGGCAGAGTGACCATTGTCAGACTTGTAGGCAGAATGACCACTGACTGGGACCTGTAGGCAGAATGACCACTGACTGGGACCTGAAGGCAGAGTGACCATTGTCAGACTTGTAGGTAGAATGACCATAGTCTGAGAACTGTAGACGTAGTGACCACAGTCTGAGATATGCAGACAAAGTGACCATTTCCTGTGTCTTGAAGACAAAATGACCACTGACTGTGACTTGTAGACAGAGTCGATGTGCTGATAACTAAAAAAGTAGTTAATATTGAGTTCGAGCCATAATAATTCTTTAGCTTTCTTGAATGTTTACTTTGTCGAATAACATTATTATATGCAGTGGATCTATTCATCTAAATTAATTTTTAACAGCTTTGAAATTAAATTTTAAATACAGTTATGTTCCTTTAGGAAGGCACTTGAACTGATATGTAAGTAGATTTGAATATTTCCTTAGAGGAATCAATGTAGTTATTGATATATATATACATCCCCACCCAACCCATAGATATATCTACTTGTGCATTTTAATGCATCCCAAGCATAACACATGTTAGGGATATGACCATGGAGGTCAAAGGTAAGAGTGACTTTTCTCTGGATCACATAATACCCTTTTCAAGGAGACACACAAATGTTTCTACTACATCAATCAGTACAGAAGATATGGCTTAGAAACCATTTTATTTTACTGATAGTTACAGGCCAGCCACTTAATCTGAAATGCATCCCACTTCCTTGTAAAAGTGTTACACAAACCTTGAGATTCTTATCTGTTGTAGTCTTTAGGATTATGGATTCTTCTATATATTTTAATGTCTTCCTAAGGTGAAAGGTCAAAATTCATGATGCAGTGACCTACTTCATTCACAAACTTCGTGTCAGGCTATACATTAAAACAGAATGGATAATATGTCCTTGAAACTTAAATGGAGTATCAATAATACACACAGCCTTTGATCTGTTTGTATTTAACTAAATATTGTCAGTTATCACTTATACTACTGGGGAGGTCGATCATACCTGGTCAATAATTCTATATTTCAGTCACCACATCACAATACACCTTACCATATCACATTTGTTACAATGTCCTATCATATCATGCTTTGGTTGCTATAGTGAACATTTTGAAATATTAATTTGAGGGTTATTTAATGGGGGACTATTCTGTAATATAAACTATAATGTGACAAAACCTACACAACCTTTACTGATGCCAGTTTTCAATCATTAAATGTCATGAATGAAGAGAATGACTCTTTCCCGTTGTAGACCGAGCATAAATCATACCCTGATGATTTTCACATCAATGGTTTACTGTTTTATTCATACTAAAATTTCATACAATGGAGAATACACATATTGTATTACTGATGTGGTGAACAAAAAGGCTGTCAAACAAAACAAAGTGTATTATCAGATATCAAAGTCTGTTGACAGTGCCCTGTGATGCAACTCATGTCAGTCAGATGTTCCTTATACTAGAACCAATATGTCTAATTACAAGTCAGGATCAGTGACACGCTTGTAACATTTACTGATACGTACAACACAACACGTTTGATTACAAGATCAGTCAAATGTTTATATTGTACTGGAACCAACTGGTTCATATACAAGGTCAGTCAGGATCAGTCACACGCTTGTAATAATGTAACATGGTACTGATACCTACAACATGTTTTGATTACTAGATCAGTCAGATGTTCCTTATATTGTACTAGAACCAATATTTCTAATTACAAGTCAGGATCAGTCACACACTTGTAATATTGTAACATTGTACTGATACATACAACACTTTTGATTACAGGATCAGTCAGATGTTTATATTGTACTGGAACCAAATGGTTCATATACAAGGTCAGTCAGGATCAGTCACACACTTGTAATATTGTAACACTGTACTGATACATACAACATGTTGTATTGCAGGATCAGTCAAATGTTTATATTGTACTGGCACCCACTGGTTCATATACAAGGTCAGTCAGGTTCAGTCACACACTTGTAATATTTACTGATACGTATAACATGTTTTGATTACAGGATCAGTCAAATGTTTATATCGTACTGGAACCAACATGTTCAAATACAAGGTCAGTTAGATGTTTGTAATAGAGAACCAACGTAATTGTGTTTAATAGGACAGCAACATCCACAACTCAGTTCTCTGATTAGTGACATGCGAATAACATGGTAATTTATCTTCCTATGAAATTAGTTCCTGGATATCAATATTAGTTTTCAACTGTTTAAATCAAAATAGTAAATCAATGTGAAATAGATATCATAACCAACCTCCTCACTGTTTTTCCATTTTTTTTCTCTAATTTAGCCTGACACTGTTTAACACTTTCCTTAGTGCTGTTGAATCTATCAAAAACACTTTAGTTCTACATAACAGGCAGTTCATGGTCTTATTCTTTGATTTCCTTAGTAGAAATCAGAAACTGATGAAAGCATGGATGACAGTAGCAATATTAAACAGATTTGTACCACAACACAGCAATGGAATGCACTCCCAGCAGAATTATCCCTGGTTTGACCTCAGGGGAAAAAGGCAAGACAACGGTGTCATTGATTGAATCAAATCTACCATTGGTTTTCATTGAACTGAATCCTTGAGATCGACATATTTTCTGGTATCAGTAATAATTCACACTGGAGCTATCTTTCCTACCATGTTCCTGCAGGTTCTGTTGGTTACCAGATATCAGTGTGGCATGAAGAGATATGCCAAATGTTTTACCCTCAATACAAAGTTTTTAGTTTAAGAAGTATTTCCTTTAACTTTTTGACACAAGGAATTTCAGGTAAGAAAAACTCCCATTAAAATCAGATATGAGTAATTTCCTGAATACCGCCATGCAGAGTGTGGAAGAGTCTGGAGCTGATGTGACAAGATTGTGGTTGATTGCACTTAGAACTGTGTGTCTGTTGGTAAATGCAGTCTGGTGATGGTTGATAGTGCTAACCACTATGATAATGTACAACCACCAAACCATAGTGCGTGAGAGTCTAGAGAAGACTGATAGTGATTGGCACTGTTTGACAGTAGTTTCAACCAACACACCATATTATGTGAGTGTCTGGACCTGGTTGATAATGTTAACACTGTCTGTACATACTACCAACGCCTTGGTTTGTAAGTGTCTGGAGCTGTTTGACGGTGTAAACACTGTCTGTACATACTACCACCTTGGTTTGTGAGTGTCTGGAGCTGGTTGATGATGTTAACACTGTCTGTACATACTACCACCGCCTTGGTTTGTGAGTGTCAGGAGCTAGTTGATAGTGTTAACATTGTCTGTACATACTACCACAACCCTGGTATGTGAGTGTCTGGAGCTGTTTGACGGTGTCAACACTGTGTGTACATACTACCAAAACCCTGGTATGTGAGTGTCTGGAGCTGTTTGACGGTGTTAACACTGTCTGTACATACTACCACAACCCTGGTTTGTGAGTGTCTGGAGCTGGTTGATGATGTTAACACTGTCTGTACATACTACCACAACCCTGGTATGTGAGTGTCTGGAGCTGGTTGATGATGTTAACACTGTCTGTACATACTACACCTTGGTTTGTGAGTGTCTGGACCTGGTTGATGATGTTAACACTGTCTGTACATACTACCACCGCCTTGGTTTGTGAGTGTCAGGAGCTAGTTGACGGTGTTAACACTGTCTGTACATACTACCACAACCCTGGTATGTGAGTGTCTGGAGCTGTTTGACGGTGTCAACACTGTGTGTACATACTACCAAAACCCTGGTATGTGAGTGTCTGGAGCTGTTTGACGGTGTTAACACTGTCTGTACATACTACCACAACCCTGGTTTGTGAGTGTCTGGAGCTGGTTGATGATGTTAACACTGTCTGTACATACTACCACAACCCTGGTATGTGAGTGTCTGGAGCTGGTTGATGATGTTAACACTGTCTGTACATACTACACCTTGGTTTGTGAGTGTCTGGACCTGGTTGATGATGTTAACACTGTCTGTACATACTACCACAACCCTGGTATGGGAGTGTCTGGAGCTGGGTGATGATGTTAACACTGTCTGTACATACTACCACAACCCTGGTATGGGAGTGTCTGGAGCTGGTTGATGATGTTAACACTGTCTGTACATACTACCACCTTGGTTTGTGAGTGTCTAGAGCTGGTTGATGATATTAACACTGTCTGTACATACTACCACAACCCTGGTATGTGAGTGTCTGGAGCTGGTTGATGATGTTAACACTGTCTGTATGTACTACCACCACCCGGGAGTATCTGCCTCTACTAAACTGGTGTACATGTCAGAGGTGGACAGCTGCTGTCAGATTATAACCACGATTTAAATAATCAGACAGTGATAATGTCGAAATAGTAACATTTGTAAACAAAAAATGCAATACACATTGATAAGTAAGAAGTTAGTGAGAAATAGGTACAACTGATTGTCTGATAGGACGTCAACAGCATCCTTCACGCTGTGTCTTATTTTCTTTGGTAAAGAACAAATTAGCACTTGAAATCTGTAAGTGTGCAGTTATCTTGTTTATGTTAGATACTGCATGTGAATCTAACTTCCAACCAAAAAAAATTTAGATGCAGATTTGATGGACTAGTCTCTCAAATAAAGGTAACATGCAACCCCTAAGAGTACAGGTGGTCTCTGCTTACAGGATAACTTTTGTGAAAAGAACTATAAACGTGTCTACAACATATAGACAACCTTGTTGTGACTCATCATCATTCCCTGTCCCTACTCCTCTTCCTTCCCTCTCATCTCCTCCAAGAGCTTATCTCCCTCCCATCCTTGGGCCTCCTCTACTTCCCTTAAAGGCTTCCCTGCTCTTCTTTCTTGGGTCCCCATTCCCTGTCCTCCCTTCTCCCCCTTGGCTTCTTCCCTTTGCCTCCTTTCCTTACCTTTCCTTTTTTCTTTCCTTCTATCCTCCCTGAGCTACCTCTGCCTCCTTTTCTCTCATCCTTTCCTTCTCCCTTCCCTGATCCTCGCCTGCCTGCCTGCCTGCCTGCCTTCCCTTCTTTATTCTTATCCTTTCCTTCTCCCCTCCCTGAGCCTCCTCTCTCTGCCCTCCCTTCGATTCTGCCCCTCCCTAGCCATCTTATCCCTCCCTTTGCTTCTCCTCTCCCTGAGCCTCCTCTCCCTGCCCCCCCTTCGATTCTGCTCCTCCCTAGCCATCTCATCCCTCCCTTTGCTTCTCCCCCTCCTTGGGACATCTTTTCACTCTCTGAGCTTCCATCCCTGTCCCTGTATGGGCCTCCCCCTACATCATTGCCTCATTATTGTGTAATTCATTATCTGCACCATTGACAGTGATGCTGGCAAAGCAGTTTACCAGCATGTATTAATTATACATGTCCCTAAAAGGATTAACAGGTCAACGCCATCATGCACTATTCAATACAGCACACGATGTTCTAAGATTTGATATCCATGGCAGAAAACAGCAATGACATTGATACTGTGTCTGGTGCATGGTTGTTTTTAATTCAGACTCTCATCCAGGTTTTCTCTCTTCACTGGTTAAGTTGTTTCTAACCCAGGTTTTTCTCTTCACTGATTTAGTTGTTTCTGCTGATCCAGGTTTTTCTCTTCACTAATTTAGTTGTTTCTTATTTCTTTTTTTATTCTAAGCTACGTAAATAACTGTTTCCATCCGTGTCTCTAAGCTGTTGTTTCTATTAAGTCTGCATGGCTTTTTTCATGTAGACCATTATTATTTATAAATAGACTTTGTTTGTAAACATGTTCTATGTCAATTTCATTATTAAAACAACAATAATCATTTATCTATCCTTGGAAGTATCACTAAAATAACTTGCTCCTGTGGTTAATAGCCCTCATCAGTAGCACATCCCGATGATAGTTTATCAAGAATATCGGCCTCCCTGCAGCCAAGTCAGATAATCAAATTAGCCTGGAGGTTTGGTATATTTCATTTCCTAGCTCCAACACTCATGTTATATACCTCCATCCTTAGAAAATAAATCACCCAATCTGTAGTAACATTTGCTATATTTCACTTTTGTGTAGGACCAGCAAGATAAACTGATTTTTATTTCTCACCAAACCCGCTGAAAGTTTTATCAAAATACCAGGATGGCAGTCTTGAGATCTGAAATGGTCGTCTGTTCTACAAAAAGTGCAAGCCATGTCAATTACATCACACGAAGCCATTTTGTTAGGGCTTTGATTAGGACAACAGTATAGAATTTGTACTTTAGAGCAGGTCCCTACAGGAAGGGAATGAAGAGGTAATCAAAGACCTGCAATCAATATGACCTTATCCTTAGCCAGCCCCATATTCTACAGTCTCTACAATTTGATGCTGTATGACTATACTGTCCGGTAATGTTCCAGCCAATTTCTGGCTTCTACAGACCCAATTCCTCGTTACATTCAGCATTTCGTATATTTTCTAGAAATGAATCTGCTATATATCTATCTGTGACAACAGGAAGTAAATACTGTGGTATTATGAGCTCTTTTTTATGAGTCTCCCTTTATTTTGGTGTCCCATATGAGTAGTCTCCCTTTATTTTTGTGTCTGTTATGAGTAGTTTCCTTTTATTTTTGTCTCTCTATCAAATAAGAGTAATTTCATATATGCTGATGTAATATCATCTCTTGCTTTTTTTTTAAAAAACAAATTCAAATTAATATGGGTTGGACTAGCTTAAGTAAAGACAAACTTGCATTGAAACCTCTATATTGTAAAGGCAACATGTCAATAATGGCCATTTTTTAAATTCCTTTTAGTAACCTTCATAGAAAGAATTTACTGTACACCTATGTATAACATTTCAGAATAATGAACTCAACAAGACATTTTTTTTGAGAAAGGATAAAAAGACAAGACTTTAAAGAAATGTCAATAGAAACAAAAACACATGAAATAGTAGCAACAAAGGTAGACTGTAACATGTATACAACACTGAGGTAGTAAACCACAGTGAGAAACATGAGTCTGTAATAAATATACCATATAGGCAGGAAAACCTCACTACTCCAAGGAACTGTCCGTTCAAATAAGGTACAAAGTCAATTTCAGTTGGTGTATACTGGGAGCACATGACAACTTGAATACAGGATGGCATACGTTTTCATGTTACCTTGTAGCATCTATACACCATGTAACTAATTATACTGTGGAAGTCTTACCCACTTCCCTCCCATCATCCTACGATCAAAGGTATATGTATAATTAACGATGTTTATAATACATTCTCGAGTTTTATTAGGTTTATCGTGTACGCTATTCTATATAAAAGGCATATTTATAATTACGTAGTTATCTTTATGAATATTTACTAGCTGTTAAGTTATTAACTATAAAATTTCCCCTCCCAACTCATAACTTATTCTGTTAATATCAGATGTTTGCTTATCCGTGTCTTCTGTATTACCAATAAAATGAATTGGTCCACACGTCTCTTTAATTTTACATTGTGTCCCTGCTGCTCTACTAACTAAAACTCCACCGTCTTGCCTTACATCTTATTATGTGGTAACAGTCTGTCTGATAAATACTAATATCACATAATGATGGAAAACCTCTAAGAAGCTCTCTCATATTTCTGATACATTTTCTGATATTGAGGTTGACAATTTTTTTTCCTGGAAAATTAGAAACCTCTTCATACCTCAAATAACTTGATTTCCAACATAAGATTCTGTTACACAAAGATGAATATTGGAGACTGGGATCCCACGCTGGGAGATTATCCCGGGAGCTACGAGCTCCTTAGCTACCCTTTGTTTATAAAGATTCCTTGAGAAGGACTTGATGATTTTATTGACTGTAATGTTGCCTGATGGTGGTCCTATATTGAGATCAATGCCACTAAATCAAATTACTTTGCACAATACACCTGATGTTACCACAATATCTGACAATATACCTGATGTTACCACAATATCTGACAATATACCTGGTGTTAACATACATCTGACAATATACCTGGTGTTAACATACATCTGACAATATCCCTGGTGTTACCACATATCTGACAATACACCTGGTGTTACCACATATCTGATAATACACCTGGTGTTACCATACATCTGACAATATACCTGGTGTTAACATACATCTGACAATACACTTGGTGTTACCACACATCTGACAATACACCTGGTGTTACCACACATCTGACAATACACCTGGTGTTACCACAATATCTGTTACCACAATATCTGACAATATACCTGGTGTTATCACATATCTGATAATACACCTGGTGTTACCACACATCTGACAATATACCTGGTGTTACCACACATCTGACAATATACCTGGTGTTACCACATATCTGACAATACACCTGGTGTTACCACACATCTGACAATATACCTGGTGTTAACATACATCTGACAATATATCTGGTGTTAACATACATCTGACAATACACTTGGTGTTACCATACATCTGACAATATACCTGATGTTACCACACATCTGACAATACACCTGGTGTTACCATACATCTGACAATACACCTGGTGTTACCACATATCTGACAATACACCTGGTGTTACCACACATCTGACAATATACCTGGTGTTACCACACATCTGACAATATACCTGGTGTTAACATACATCTGACAATATACCTGGTGTTAACATACATCTGACAATACACCTGGTGTTACCACATATCTGACAATACACCTGGTGTTACCACAATATCTGACAATATACCTGGTGTTAACATACATCTGACAATACACCTGGTGTTACCACACATCTGACAATATACCTGGTGTTACCATACATCTGACAATATACCTGGTGTAACCACACATCTGACAATACACCTGGTGTTACCACACATCTGACAATACACCTGGTGTTACCACACATCTGACAATACACCTGGTGTTACCACACATCTGACAATATACCTGGTGTTACCACACATCTGACAATATACCTGATGAACAGCCAGGTAAAATGGTTGTGAATGTGTTTCAAGCATGTCTTATGTCTCTGTCACGATGGACCAATCAAACCAAGCATGTCTTATGTCTCTGTCACGATGGACCAATCAAACCAAGCATGTCTTATGTCTCTGTCACGATTGACCAATCAAACCAAGCATGTCTTATGTCTCTGTCACGATGGACCAATCATATCACACTTGTTTTATTTCTCTGAATTACAATGTACCAATCAATTGTGATCGAACTTGTTCTCTAGTTTTCCTTTACCTTTATATTACCTGAGCTTCCTGTTAAGGAATCTTTGTTTACCTGAAGACAATGAATAGTTATCAGCTGCTATTTAAAGAAGTACCTGCAGTGTTTTTATCAAACCAAATCCTATTTACTTACATATCAATATAATTATAGGTCTACCTGCTGTTTGTTTTACCCTTATCAAAATATGCCATATGATATCACACCTCCAACTCTGCAGCTGGTAATTACATTCAATGTACAAACATATATACCTAGAATTGTTGAACCTGTTGCTATTTTGTTGGTATTAGTGAACACTAACAACTTCTGTAAATCTGTGAATGTTTGAATCACCTGAGGGACTTCTATGGCTGATGGTGTGAAGGTGCAGACAACTCAGGTAAACATGCACTTGAAGATTTCACCTGCAATTAGAGTCTGTTCAATATATCCCCCATTTCCTCACCTGTTAGTTTACATACAGTCTGTCTGTGTAATGGCGTACAACAGGACAACATATCAACTAATCAGTAATCACACACTCACACAACTCCAAACCTATTAATGGCTGCACCTTAATTTCAAGTTCTTTCAAGACTAACAATTTCACTAGATTTAGTCAAGATTAATTCACTAACTGGACTAAAACAAGAGACATGGTGTAGTGTCGATAGAATCTTAATTCAAATTTAATAAAACTTGGGCAAAATATGAACAGAAAAAAGATTTGCATAAAGACTCCTGAAAAGGTTAAGATTAGGTGTTCCTCAAGAGTAAGTGTCTTCTGCTTCATCAACAACACCAGCCATGTAAATCTTGGTTAATCCAAGTAAGTAATGTCATGTTACCAAATTAACAAAATCACCAATTATTGATAAAGAGTTTCAAGGAACACAAGAGATTTATAAGGTAGGTAATGTATGGTGAAATCATACATTCCCTTTGGCACAGTTTTCATGGTTTAAAAAAAAAATCCCTTTTTCTTGACCACATGATTACATGTATAGATATAGCTCAATACATCTGCTTATACTT